AAGAGAAGCACAATTATTTTCATCTCTTATTCCAAGTTGCTGTCCTCCATTCTGTTTTTGTTATTTTTAAAAAACTACTAATGTTTGGTTAAGGCTAGTCACTTGTGGTAGGATATATTTCTACAGTCTAAATTGAAAAACTCATGCAGACAGTTTATGTATTAATAGTACAGTTGAGTTTTCTAAATTTCATGTTCATAAGGAGACAACAGATTGCTAATAAAACTAAGAATTATAGCAGTATCTAAATATAATTGTCAAAAATATTACACCTTTTTTTTACAGTTTTAGACCACATTAATTTATTCTTACAGTTTTTTTTAAATAGATGTGAAATCATATATCACTTTGAGTTTAAATGAAATGATAAATGAACACAAAATAGTATTATCTAGAATATTCTAACACTTTTTACTAATAAATGTGGTTTCAGGTTGCTGGCATTTCGCAATTTTTTTTTGCTTGATATTAAATCATAGTATCAAGATTTTGGCAAAAGTGAATGTAGGGACCTGGTGTGGCAATTACTTACACACTATAGTATTTGTTTTTCCACCTGGCTAGTAATTTTTGAAGAGTAGGTTTTAGCAAAGTTGTAGTATTAGCTAACAACCAGAATACCTTTAGTTATTCTTTCATACTAATTCTGATTTTTTTCCACATTGCATAACATTGCCTACTCAATAAGTAATAGCATGATGGGTATAGGTGTGTGTGTGTGTGTGTGTGTGTGTGTGTGTTGATTCTTTGGTTGAAAAAAAATGCAAAAGGCTGTAATAGGCTAAAATGCTAATTTGTAACATATAGAATATTACCTTTGTTTGTTTAACAAACAAATGATTTTTTGAAACATTTTGTTTAACAAACAAATGAATCTATTGTTTCATTGGTTTCATTTTTCCAAAAAAACTAAACCAACTTAAACAAACCATATTCTGATTTAGGAAAATATATGAATCTATCCAGCATTGCATGAACCCACACCTTGAATATCTGTTGTTATAAGCATGGAATAGGATGAGTTTATTTAGATATATATGTCTACTGCATTCAGCTAGTTTTGTTGGCATGCCAAATAGCATTGTACACAGACTATCTCATTATTTTGTTAATGCCTCATTGTTAAATTCAACTAAGCTTTGGAACGCCTATCCACATCCCTTCTCTACTTCCAAAATAGCTTTCCTGCTTCTCATTTGTTTTCAGTTTTCATACTCTATTATGCCTAAACTTCCCTACTACCCCCAAATTTTCTCTTTCCTTCATCTGTTTTCTCTTCCTCAGTTCTTGTTGTATGTTAAAACTTTACTATAAGTTAAATGTCAGGCAATTGCAACTTCTTCCCATAGTTGTCACTCCATCTACTACCTGTTGCCATCTTGTTCTAGTCTTCATATTGAAATTTCAAGTTTATACTGGAGTCATATCAGTACTTGCTTTTCTTCTACCGATCAGTCAGTTCATTTCCAAAAACAGGTCATTTCTGACAGATCATGAAATGTTATACTGTTCACAAAATCTCTATTTTGTGTGCTGAATTACTGTAGAACATTCCCTTTCAAAGCTCTATAATAGTTGGAGTTAAGTTAGTGGTGTTCCACTACTTGCAGCTTCATTGACTCTAATTTTCAGAGGCCTTTGTGCTAGTGTCCATTAAATCTGAACACTGCTGCGTGCCCATACAATGACAAAAATCTGCTTACACACTCCAGTATCTGCCTGGCTCATTAAGAAATATTAAAGGATATTTCCACATGCTAATACGATCTGCTTAAATGAAAAAAAACCTTATGTTTATTCTGCTTGTTTCTGCAGGGAAACAAATTACTGCCATATGTCACAAATTGACATTCATCCATCTCTTAGTAATTCTGGCCATCTTAAGGAAGAGCACTACTGATAGAAGATAATATTTTTAGTTCAGAGTTGAACTGTGGTGCTCTCTGAGTTAGGTGGTTTTCTTGCAGATATTTCATTACCAAACTAGGTAACATCAGAACTCCACAGAAAAGCTCTAGTTTGCAAATCTACTTACGGTATTGCTAACCATGTATTGAAGGGAAAAACATACTTTTCTTTGTTAGACTAGACAACAGAGCAGGTTCTCCAAGATACTAAATCTTGATTGTGTTTGTCATTTTCTCTATTATTGGCACAAATATACTTTAATAAACATCAAAGGGTAGTACAGTATTTTTCTCCCTTTGATTCTCAATATTGCAGTTTTCATTACATGTTTTCTTGTTTATTTGTTTATTTATTTCTCTGATTTCTTTGTTTCTCAGTTCCTGAAAGCTCTCCGTAACTATAATCAAAGTAACATAATGCCAACCCGATTTACCACCCTCAAGGGCAGACTAATCCTTCCTTCATCTCCAAAAGCTTTACTGAGAAATAGTGCTTTTCAAAAACCCAGTAAAGAAGGGTAGTTTTGGTTGCTGATGGAAAGCTGTTTTACATTGTGTTGTAAAAATCTTGTAATATCATTGCTACATTAACTATGGCCCACTACAGTCTGAAAGGCATGGCCACATATTTTCAATTTTTCAGTACCATTTTATTCTTAGATTCCACCATTACAGTGGAATACAGCCCAACTCCCATACACGTATGAATGCTTTATGCATTTTCTTCTAACTTATTTCAGGATATTGATTAGTTTATTATTACATAGTACCAGTGGCCTTAATTCCTTCATGATACAGAGGCTATACAAGATTCACACTTAAAAAGAAAAATAGAAACAATATATATGTATAAACATAGGCATCTCTAGATTCCATCACTTACCAAGATGATGAAAGTGGTATTATGTTGTTATGCTGCAAGGACACCTTCCCCTTTCGGACATGCATTACAATGCATGTTGTAAAGGGGCAGGGCTTCATCATAAACAACATAATGCTGCTTTCATAAATTTGCCTATTAGACAGATTCTGCCATCACTCACCATCCTTCTCCCGGGATTTTGCTGCATGTACATTTATAGTGAAAATATTTGAAAACTGCCTGTAACTGATTATTGCCATAATTCTACAAGACAAATTTGCTGGGAACTTTTCAACTTGGTTCATTGGTATAAATTTGATTTGTATAAAAGTATATGCTCTAATTCATTTCAGTGTGTATATATAGTCTTCATGTATATGTATAGTCATTAAACTGAACTCTAACTAAAAATATGTACAACCATCCACGCAATCAAAATCCCTGTCCTATTTTTTTCCAATGAGACATAGCAAGGCTGCCTAATAAGGAATCGGTCTCTTTTCTATGCTGGCCAACAGACAGTCTCTAGGGCTTCAGACGTTCTTTCTCAGGTTGATCTGCAGATATCAGAATCTATTTTCTATTTTCCTTTTCTTGTATTTCTTGTAGATAGATGGATAATCTCAGAATAAACTGAAAATTAAATGAAGAAAGTTAAAAATAGAGATTCCTATTCCCCAAAGATTTCTTCAGGAAATAATCTACAATATCGTCCGGCTGCAGTACAATGCAGAAGAAGAAGTACCTATCCTAGACAAAGAATAAAAAATGTTAAATTTTAAAACATCCTAAAGAAAACATTATTTTCAGATAGTCTCTGACTCCTTAGACTCAATGCTTGTTTTGTGTCACAGAAATGCTCAATGCTTTTGTGTCACAGAAAGAGCTGTCAAACCTTCCAAAAAGTATTAAAATTAAGGGCATGCAAACAGCTATTAGAATAGGATTAAGCATATGTGTTGACTCATCTCTAGAAGGGGATGAACATTTCCAATGGTGTAAGAAGTGTATAAAATACCAGATTCAAAGAATTCCAGTCAAATGATCTGGATGGCAGCACCTTGAAAAACATCTTTTTGAAACCTGTAGAGATGCTAATTCAGAACTGACATTATGAGGCAAGACACATAAAAGGTTTGATTAGGTAACTGTTCACATTTTATGCTGCAAACATTGGAAACAAGAACCAGTATAAGAAGATTTAGCAATGTTTCACTTCAACCTATCCTTGGTTTGTGAAAAAGATAGGTATTGATTTGCAAAGTTTCATTCTTACGATGGCAATGTACTAAAAACCTTGAAGCAATATTTTGTTATCTTGTTGAAAGGCATCTATGCTGTTTGTTACACAGTTCCATATATAATTTAATATGAATAAACATGTGCATTTGAAAACTAATTATGAAGTTCTTATATTTAACTATCCTTTAAGGTTTTTTAAAAATAGTGTTAATCACTGTAGAGAAAGAGTGACATTTTGCAAAATGCCTGTACAAATTTAAATGTACATAGCTGAATAAATAAGAACTTTGGCATCTGCTCTGAGTGCAATGTCAACTCCAAAGCTCAATCATGTCATTTAACTTTCCATTTTTTCAAGGAATAAAGGAATCTAGTTTGTTCATCTAAAACTCTTCCTTCCTTCCTTCCTTCCTTTTCTCCCTCCCTCCTTCTCATTGATTATTTATTTCTTATAAGTATCTATCTCATGTATTCAAAACTATATTTATTCTTATACCTGTATCTTGTAAGTGATTGACAAATCAAATAAATACTAAATACTAAATTACCCATCTACTCATTCAACAGGTTTTAAAGTTTAAATTTGCTTTATCCAATTAATAAACATGGTTTCTCGCCTGGACTTTTTAAAATATAACCTCATCTTCTGCTACCAGAACTGCTTGCTTGCTTGCTTGCTTGCTTGCTTGCTTGCTTGATTGATTGATTGATTGATTGAATGAATGATTGATCTTGCCTTCAGTTTTTTGGATGAGTTCATCTGCTGAATAATCCATCCAAATAGTTTTGGGGTTTCTTTTCCAACTCCCAGTCAGCTGCCTTCAGCTCTAACAGAGCTGGGAAAGGGAAAAACTGTGCATAGCCATCACAGTTAGGATTGATGGTCACAGAAGCACTGATAAGTTAAAATATATTCATAGGCTGTTGATATCCAAGCTATTTTTGCAAAGCATGTCAATGTGATAAATTCATGTTTTTATGTTTTCCAGAGATCCCATTGGTTTTGTACTTATTTGCCCTCATTTCCATGACATGGCTATGGGGAGGACTGCACATGGCTTACAGGCATCTATGGATGCTGGTCTTCTTTGTCATTTTCAACAGCCTACAAGTAAGCACTTAATATATTTATCATTTACTTTTTTAACAAAATCAAAGCACTGTATGTTTACTTATGTGAACCCTGGAAAAAGAGCAAGTGTGTGAAAAGGAAAAGTTGTACATCTATAAGTAAAATATAATGTGGCTGGTATGTATTCTCACACATGCATGTACATATTCCTTAATATAAAACAGGGTTCTGATGAAATGACTAAACACTTCAACAGTACAGCAATAAAAACTATAAATGTTCATTCTTGGAAATAGAATTCAGCTGAACTTAAATTTCAACTGGGAAGTATTTTTCTATAAAGTAATTGAAAATAAAGTCTACAATATGAAGCAGTGTAAAATAATCTGCATGTGAGATATAATTTAAAAACTAGTGAAATATTAAACATTTAGGTAGAACTTGCATGTTAACAGTTTAACTTGAAAAAAGATACGGATTTGTGCATGCAGAATTTTTTTCCAAATACTTGTTGCAATGTTTGGATCTCTGTCTTGTACTCAACTGAAGAATGAAGAAAAAAGAATTGCACAGAAGTAACTTCTTTTTTGGCAAGTGTGAGTGGGAAAATGTTAGAACTGTAATCATATTTAACCAACTAATTGGATAGATTATAGATTGGAGACATTTTAATTAAAAAAACTTTTCTAATTAAACACCAACTCATTTTTAAGTTTTAATTATTTTGAATATCAGTACTTATAAAATTGATACATGGCAAATATGATAGGAATTTCCCCCTTGCTGTCACTTTAGAAAATGTTTCCTAAAAAACTACTTGGTGCTATATTTAAAGACATCATTAAATAACAAGACATTATATAGATTTTCCCTATCACCAAATTTATATAAAATGAAGAGAAAGTAATAATTAATTGGATTGAGTAATTGAAACTGTTACGAACTAAACAAACTCATTTGTCAATAACTATACTAGCTTACTTCAGCAGCAGGCTTGTAATCCTGCACTTCTGATTGGCCCGCGGATAAGCGAATCGTGATTGGCCGATTCTGGCTAATCTGATTGGCTGACAATGGGCCGTCTCTGATTGGACACTTTTAGAGCGGTTAGTTCAATTTCATTGGTTGTTGTGACAGCAGCCAGCTCTATAAAAGAGCTGCTGCTGCCCTAGTTGTTGCTCTGTTCTGAAGTCACTATTAAAGAGTTGAATTGAGTCACTATCGATGCCTCGTCTCCGTTATTGCGCCCACTCCTCCAGATCTAACAGAAACAGCCATATCAAATGCATTACATTTCATTCTTAAATTGGTGCTTTCTAGCAGTTGGATTTTACTATTACACAACTTACCTGTATATGGATTATGAGACATGTTATCCCACATAACTTAAGGCCACCAAAATTAGGAAGGCTGAACAAATTAGCAAAAATCAGCATTGATGATCTCTCTCCTCTGTGCATTTGTCCCAATGATTTTGACAGTACTTATTTTAAGTAAAATGGATCATATGCTTTTAGAAGAAATAAATCCTGAAGTGAATTAGATTTATTTTAAAATAGAGATATATAAAATTTGACTTTAGATCTAAAGATTGTAGGCTAAAATCTCTGTTACTACTGAATAGGCATGGCTGGAAGTGATGTATTAACAAGACTCTTGACCTGTTCACTTGCATTAACATTGGGTTTTGGCTATAGTGGTATCCTATAGCAATTTTTGGAATCATATTATGGAACAATACATTTATTTGTTAATGTAGGAGGCATCTTTAAGCATTATTTATTTTAAATTGCATTTGTTCCACACAAGTATATTAAGACTATACCTTGCTATCATTCAGTTCCTTGTGTTCTTTGTTGGATTTGCTCACTCAAATTTATTTTATTTATTTGTTAAATTTATCTTCTGCCCATTTTGCCATAAGACTGCTGTATGTGGCTTGCACCAATAAAAACAGAGAAATAAAAAGAAGTGCAAACATAACAATAGTAAAGTAATGGAACAATAGAATAAACAATGAAAAAGAGTACAATGATACAACGGGTATCCCATATACACAGCCTTTTCTTTTTTTGCCTCTGCTGTAATGGCAGAACCCCAACCATTTAGCAAATTACATTTAAAGAGACTTCAGATGACTTGCAGGAACAGTTCCCAAAGTCTTGGAATATAATGGAAGCTTTTGAGATGTACACTTTTAATGCAATTCAAATATAAATACACTAAGTTGATTTAATAATATAGATTAAACTAAAAACTAAATATAGACAAAACAAAAAAGTTTGACTGGTAATCTCCTCCCCAATCTTTTAGTTAAAATTATGATGAGCAATATTATATATGTTGGTAGTCTGTTGCTGCAAATCACGTGTAGATTTACCTTTGTATTCACTTTGATTAGAAGAATGGGAAGTTAAATGACAAATGTAAGAATACCAAGAGGAGAAAATACTAAATTCATATATAAACCAATTGGATTTGAAATGCTGCAATAAATCAGCAACAGATTTTGGCTGACAGTAAAGAACTTAATGAGATAATCCACAGTGTGCAACTTTAGTGAAAAACAAATGTACAGTATCTAGAATTATTCAGAAGAGAATTAACAAATAAATTACTGAGCACAAAAAGTATTTTTTCTTTACTTCTTTTGAGTTGATCGAAGAGCTTTTCCTTTAGAATATTTTTTCCAAGGAAGAAAACTTTTGGAGAAATATTTATTTATTTACAGTCATATACTGTCTTTCATTCAAGAGCTCAAAGCCGTATACAATGCATAGGCCTCTGTTCTATTTTTCTCATAACAATAGCCCTGCAAGAAGAGTTAAGTTGAGAGAGAATGACTGACCTGAACTCATTAGTGAGCTTCTAGCTTCTGGTTTTCCTTATATATTTATTTGTTTGTTAGGTTTTTTGTTTGCTGCCCATCTCGTTTTGAAGTAACTCTTGGCGACTTTATAGCATAAAACATTAAAATCACCAGAGATAAATATCCCTAACACAATGAAATATAAGTACAATGAAAGTAAAATCATAGTTACAAGGTGGTGAAGGAGGAAGCTATATGGCAGGGAGGTGGGATTGGTTCTTAATTAATCTACCACCTCTAGTGTGATGTTCCCCAATTGGACCCACAAGCCATCTAGCAGAGCCAGGTTTTAACGTTCTTGTGGGACGTCGGAAGGGTGGGAGCTGATCTCACCTCAGGGAATAAGATATTCCAAAAGACAAGGGCCACATTCTTAGTTCAATGTTTTAATTAGTCAATAATTACAATAGAATGGAATGGAATTGCATTTAATCTTGAGGTGGCCAAGATTTATGTTTGAATATCTTTTATTTACTGTACAATCATATGTAGTGTTGTCCAGCTTCTCTAGCATCTCATGCTTCAAACTACAATATTAAGGAAAAACAACAGGAGGAAAATTCTTCCCTGCCTTTTTTGGTGGCCACGGTACAGTTATTACTTAAAGAGACATTTTTCCTTTGAGAAATTTTTGGAGAACATTTTGCTTTTCTTGGAAATATTTGGCAATGCAGTCTGCCCAATTTCTCTGCTGACAAATTTGCTGGCAAAATTTGAATGAGCAATTATATTTAGCTATCATTATACCATTATATAAGTACCATGCTAAAATAATTTTCACAGCAACATTGCCTTTACTCCCCAGCTCCTTAATTTGTAGATGATTTTTAAAATCTGCTCACTCACATTTTAACAATTTAAAATGTTAAGAACAAAGAGCAAAAATCACAATCAACTTGAGCTTTCACCTGTCATGTAATAGCAAAATCTCACTTTTTTTTTCTTCTTCATACAAATGGCAGAAAAAATTGGGTGTGTTCCACTCCTAACCAGCCACATTCTACTTTCTCTTCACTTTCTGGTCATGTGCCTAAGTAAATAAAGTCTTAATAATTTCTACACGGAAGAGCTGAAAAGGCACCCTTCAAAAACCTGAAGCACAACAGCATGATGAGCCAAAATCTTCTGCATATGATTTGGCATGGTTTCAAACATACCACAGCAGAACCAAAAGTAAATTACACTAAGTCTCAAACACAATTAATTCTTTGAAATTTAAAGCTGTTTTCAAACTGATGCAGAATTCTTGTGCGGGTATTCTTGTGCAATATTACAAATAATTCTTTGTGCTGCATCTCACAAAGAATCCTGCAAAACTGAAAAAGGGCAACCAAAATCACAGAAGGTCGGAGTAATTCTTCTACAAAGAAGGGTTTTGACAACTGGAGGGGTGGAGATGGAGGGGTAGTAAAAAGAGGTAGTACAGTGATTCAAAGTACTAGATACTAAATTCAATAAAGCTAAATTATGGAAAATTTAGAAGAGATGAAAAAAGATATAGTAAGAATGCCCACCATGGACAGGGTTGTAAAAGACAATCCAACAAATTCCTGAAAATGAACTCCTAATCATGATGTATATGAACCCCAGTTTAGCAACATATCCCTTAGAACCAGTGGTTGAAGAACATGAATTAAAGGATGCAACTGGGCTCACAAGCTGATATGCTAGGCTTTGATTGGACAGTACAAGAAGAGAATGCAAGGAGAAATATTTTTTTGCTCCGAGCTATATATTTTCTGTTTTACCACAATTTGTTTTCAAAGACTTGTGTTTTATTTAAAATGGAAAAAGAAGCTACTGAATTCCAGGAAAGAGAAAAATGTTTAAGATAGAGATTTTCTCATGAAGCTAAACTACGGTTTAGTAATTTGTAGCTGAGGATTTAGCATTAATGAAAGGAGTTTATCCTTGGTTTACCATTACATCCAAATGCAGCAAATGTATTATAAGCAAAGTGAACAATCTTGGTAAATAACCATAAATAACCTAAATCCTTTTTGTGTTTGAACACCGATGTATTTTTCATCTCACTAATTAGCAGCAAGTAGACTGAACTTCAGGGATATGATCAGCATAGGAAAATGTCTACTATACTGTAAATCATACTCTGCAAAATAAACGTGACACAAATATCCAATCTCTAGGGCATTTTTCACAGATTTAATTT